CTGTCTAATGTGGCTGTTGCTGTCTAATGTGGCTGTTGCTGTCTAGTGTGGCTGTTGCTGTGTAATGTGGCTGTTGCTGTGTAATGTGGCTGTTGCTGTATAATGTGGCTGTTGCTGTCTAGTGTGTCTGTTGCTGTCTAGTGTGGTTGTTGCTGTATAATGTGGCTGTTGCTGTCTAGTGGTGTTGTTGCTGTTCAGTGTGGTTGCTGTTGTCTAGTGTGATTGTTGCTGTGTAATGTGGCTGTTGCTGTCTAGTGTGGCTGTTGCTGTCTAGGGGTGGTTGCGTTGTCTAGTGTGATTGTTGCTGTGTAATGGGCTGTTGCTGTGAAAATGTGGCTGTTGCTGTCTAGTGTGGTTGTTTGCTGTCTAGTGTGGCGGGTTTTGTTCAGTGTGGTTGTTGCTGTTTAATGTGGCTGTTCCGTCTAGAAATGGTTGTTGCTGTCTAGTTTTGGCTGTTGCTGTTCAGTGTGGTTGCTGTTGTCTAGTGTGATTGTTGCTGTGTAATGTGGCTGTTGCTGTCTAGTGTGGCTGTTGCTGTCTAGTGTGGTTGTTGTTGTCTAGTGTGATTGTTGCTGTGTAATGTGGTGTTGCTGTCTAGTGTGGCTGTTACTGTCTAGTGTGGTTGTTGCTGTTTAGTGTGGCTGTAGCTGTTCAGTGTGGTTGTTGCTGTTTAATGTGGCTGTTCCTTTGTCTAGTGTGGTTGTTGCTGTCTAGTGTGGATGTTGCTGTTCAGTGTGGTTGTTGCTGTTTAATGTGGCTGTTGCTGTCTAGTGTGGTTGCTGTTGTCTAGTGTGGATGTTGCTGTCTAGTGTGGTTTTTTGTTGTCTAGTGGGGCGTTGCTGTTCAGTGTTGTTGTTGCTGTTTAATGGGGATGTTGTTGTCTAGTGTGGTTGTTGCTGTCTAGTGTGAGTGACGCTGTCTAATGTGGTTTTTGGGCTGTCTAGTGGGGCCCTGTTGCTGTCTAATGTAAATGTTACTGTCTAGTGTGGTTGTTGCTGTCTAGTGGATTGGCTGTCTAGGGGTGGTTGTTGCTGTCTAGTGTGATTGGGTGCTGTGTAGTTTTGTTGTTGCTGTCTAGTGTGATTGCTGCTGTTAAAGGGTGGTTCTTGCTTTTCTAGTGTGATTGATGCTGTCTAGTGTGGCTATTGCTGTCTAGTGTGGTTGTTGCTGTCTAGGTGGTTGTTGCTGTCTAGTTGGATTTTTGCTGTCTAGTGTGGTTGTTGCTCTCTAATATAGATTTTGCTGTCTAGTGTATTGTTGCTGTCTAGTGGGGGACGTTGCGGTCTAGTGTGGTTGCTGCTGTCTAGTGTGGATGTGCAGTCTAGTGTGGTTGTTGCTGTCTAGTGGGCTGTTGCTGTTCATGTTGTGTTGCTGTTTATGGGGGATGTTGTTTGTCTAGTGTGGTTGTTGCTGTCTAGTGTGAGTGACCTGTCTAATGGGGTTGTTGCTGTCTAGTGGCTGTTGCTGTCTAATGTAAATTTTTACTGTCTAGTGTGGTTGTTGCTGTCTAGTGTGATTGGTGCTGTCTAGTGTGGTTGTTGCTGTCTAGTGTGATTGGTGCTGTCTAGTGTGGTTGTTGCTGTCTAGTGTGATTGGTGCTGTTTAATGTGGTTCTTGCTGTCTAGTGTGATTAAATGCTGTCTAGTGTGGCTATTGCTGTCTAGTTGGTTTTTTGCTGTCTAGGGTGGTTGTTGCTGTCTAGTGTGGATGTTGCTGTCTAGTGTGGTTGTTGCTCTCTAAAATAGATTTTGCTGTCTAGTGTGATTGTTGCTGTCTATGTGGACGTTGCTGTCTAGTGTGTTGCTGCTGTCTAGTGTGATGTTGCTGTCTAGTGTGATTGATGCTGTCTAGTGTGGTTGTTGCTGTCTAATATAGATTTTGCTGTCTAGTGTGATTGTTGCTGTCTAGTGTGAGTGTTGCGTCTAATGTGGTTTGTTGCTGTTAGTGTGGTTGTGCTGTCTAGTGTGGCAGTTGCTATCTAATGCAGATGTTACTGTCAGTGTGGTTGTTGCTGTCTAGTGTGATTGGTGCTGTCTAGTGTGGTTGTTGCTGTCTAGTGTGATTGTTGCTGTCTAGTGTGTTGTTGCTGTCTAGTGTGATTGCTGCTGTTTAATGTGGTTGTTGTTTGTCTAATTGGATGTTGCTGTCTAGTGTGGTTGTTGCTGTCTAGTGTGAAGGGTTGCTGTCTAGTGTGGTTGTTGCTGTCTATGTGGATTTTTGCTGTCTAGTGTGGTTGTTGCTGTCTAGTGTGGTTGTTGCTGTCTAGGTGTGATTGATCCTATTTATGTGGTTGTTGCTGTCTATTTGTGATTGATGCTGTCTATGTGGTTATTGTTGTTAGTGTGATTGATGCTGTCTAGTGTGGTTATTGCTTCTAGTGTGGTTGTTACAAACTAGTGTTGTTGTTGCTTGTTTAGTGTTTTTGTTGCTGTCTAGTGTGGATGTTGCTGTCTAGTGTGGCTGTTGCTGTCTAGTGTGGTTGTTGCTGTCTAGTGTGATTGATGCTGTTTAATGTGGTTGTTGCTGTCTAGTGTTGATGTTGCTGTCTAGTGTGGATGTTGCTGTCTAGTGTGGTTGTTGCTGTCTAGTGGGGATGTTGTGCTTTTAGTGGCTGTTGCTGTCTAGTGGGTTGTTGCTGTCTAGTGTGGTTGTTGCTGTCTAGTGTGATTGATGCTGTCTAGTGTGGTTGTTGCTGTCTAGTGTGGTTGATGCTGTTTAATGTGGTTGTTGCTGTCTAGGGTGGATGTTGCTGTCTAGTGTGGATGTTGCTGTCTAGTGTGGTTGTTGCTGTCTAGTGTGGTTGTTGCTGTCTAGTGTGGTTGTTGCTGTCTAGTGTGACTGTTGCTGTCTAGTGTGATTGTTGCTGTCTGGTGTGGTTGTTGCTGTCTAGTGTGGTTGTTTCTGTCTAGTGTGGTTGTTGCTGTCTAGTGTGCTTATTGCTGTCTAGTGTGATTGCTGCTGTCTAGTGTGATTGTTGCTGTCCAGTGTGATTGCTGCTGTCTAGTGTGATTGCTGCTGTCTAGTGTGATTGCTGCTGTCTAGTCTGGCTGTTGTTGTCTAGTGTGGTTGCTGCTGCCTAGTCTGGCTGTTGCTGTCTAGTGTGGTTGTTGCTGTCAATTTCGAGATAACATGTTTACCTGTCTACAGACACAGTAGACAATATGTACCTGTCCACGGACAGCAGACACTATTTATCTGCCCACAGAAAGCAGACAGAATGTAACTGTCCACAGGCAGCAAACAGTATATACCTGTTCACAGATAGTATGTACCTGTCCACAGACAGTATATACCTGTTCACAGACAGCAGAGAGTATGTACTTTTCCACTGACAGAGCAGAAAGTATGTACCAATCCACAGACAAAACAGACAGTATGTACCTGTCTACAGACAGTATGTAACTGTCCACAGACAGTATGTACCTGTCCACAGACAGTATGTAACTGTCCACAGACAGTATGTACCTGTCCACAGACAGTATGTAACTGTCCACAGACAGTATGTACCTGTCCACAGACAGTATGTAACTGTCCACAGACAGTATGTACCTGTCCACAGACAGTATGTAACTGTCCACAGACAGCATGTACCTGTCCACAAACACAGAAGAGAGTATGTACCTGTCCACAGACACAGCAGACAGTATGTATCTATCCACAAATTCAGCAGACAGTATGTACCTGTCCACAGACACAGCAGACAGTGTGTACCTGTCCACAGACGCAGCAGACAGTATGTACCTGTCCACAGACACAGCAGGCAGTATGTACATGTCCACAGACACAGCAGACAGTATGTACATGTCAACAGACACAGCAGACAGTATGTACATGTCCACAGACACAGCAGACAGTATGTACATGTCCACAGACACAGCAGACAGTATGTACATGTCCACAGACACAGCAGACAGTATGTACATGTCCACAGACACAGCAGACAGTATGTACATGTCCACAGACACAGCAGACAGTATGTACATGTCAACAGACACAACAGACAGTATGTACATGTCAACAGACACAGCAGACAGTATGTACATGTCAACAGACACAGCAGACAGTATGTACATGTCAACAGACACAGCAGACAGTATGTACATGTACACAGACACAGCAGACAGTATGTACATGTCAACAGACACAGCAGACAGTATGTACATGTACACAGACACAGCAGACAGTATGTACATGTCAACAGACACAGCAGACAGTATGTACATGTACACAGACACAGCAGACAGTATGTACATGTCAACAGACACAGCAGACAGTATGTACATGTCCACAGACACAGCAGACAGTATGTACATGTCAACAGACACAGCAGACAGTATGTACATGTCCACAGACACAGCAGACAGTATGTACATGTCAACAGACACAGCAGACAGTATGTACATGTACACAGACACAGCAGACAGTATGTACATGTCCACAGACACAGCAGACAGTATGTACATGTCCACAGACACAGCAGACAGTATGTACATGTCAACAGACACAGCAGACAGTATGTACATGTCAACAGACACAGCAGACAGTATGTACATGTCAACAGACACAGCAGACAGTATGTACATGTCCACAGACACAGCAGACAGTATGTACATGTCCACAGACACAGCAGACAGTATGTACATGTCCACAGACACAGCAGACAGTATGTACATGTCCACAGACACAGCAGACAGTATGTACATGTCAACAGACACAGCAGACAGTATGTACATGTCAACAGACACAGCAGACAGTATGTACATGTCAACAGACACAGCAGACAGTATGTACATATCCACAGACACAGCAGACAGTATGTACATGTCCACAGACACAGCAGACAGTATGTACATGTCAACAGACACAGCAGACAGTATGTACATGTCCACAGACACAGCAGACAGTATGTACATGTCAACAGACACAGCAGACAGTATGTACGCAGACACAGCAGACGAGAAGGAATGAGAATAAACAAAGAAAAACTATGAAATATTTATTAAAATACATTAACAGACAAACAACGGTGGTTAACAGACAGAGATGTGAGATGTGTGATGTGCTTACATTGTGAGTCTTGATGATGATGTGCTGTGGTGTTATGGTGATGTATTGTGGCGTTGTGGTGATGTGCTGTGGTGTTATGGTGATGTGTTGTGGCGTTGTGGTGATGTGCTGTGGTGTTATGGTGATGTGTTGTGGCGTTGTGGTGATGTGCTGTGGTGTTATGGTGATGTGCTGTGGTGTTTTTGGTGATGTGCTGTGGTGTTATGGTGATGTGCCGTGGTGTTGTGATGTGCAGTGGTGATGTCCTGTGGTGTTTTGATGTGTTGTGATGTTCTCTGGTGTTGTACTGTGTTGTGATGATGTGCAGCGGTGTTCTGGTGATGTACTGTGGTGTTATGGTGATGTGCTGTAGTGTTGTGGTGATGTGCAGCGGTGTTCTGGTGATGTAGTGTGGTGTTATGGTGATGTGCTGTAGTGTTGTGATGATGTGCAGCGGTGTTCTGGTGATGTACTGTGGTGTTATGGTGATGTGCTGTAGTGTTGTGGTGATGTGCAGCGGTGTTCTGGTGATGTAGTGTGGTGTTATGGTGATGTGCTGTAGTGTTGTGGTGATGTGCAGTGGTGTTCTGGTGATGTAGTGTGGTGTTATGGTGATGTGCTGTAGTGTTGTGGTGATGTGCAGTGGTGTTCTGGTGATGTACTGTGGTATTATGATGTGCTGTATTGCTGTGGTAATGTGCTGTGTTGTTGTGGTGATGTACAGTGATGTTGTGATGTGCAGTTTTGTGATGTGCAGTGGCGTTATGGTGATGTGCTTGGTACTGTGATGTGCTGTGGTGATGCAGTGGTGTTTATGGTGATGTGCTTGCTACTGTGATGCTGTGGTGTTATGGGATGTGGTTGCTACTGTGATGTGCTGTGGTGATGCAGTGGTGTTATGGTGATGTGCTTGCTACTGTGATGCTGTGGTGTTATGGTGATGTGGTTGCTACTGTGATGTGCTGTAGTGATGCAGTGGTGTTATGGTGATGTGCTGTAGTATTGTGATGTGCGTTGGTGTTATGGTAATGTGCTATAGTACTGTGATGTGTAGTGGTGTTATGGAGATGTACAGTGGTGTTGTGATGTGCAGCGGTGCTATGGTGATGTGTTGTGATGTGCAGTGGTGTTATTGTGATGTGCTGTAGTATTGTGATGTGCAGTGGTGTTATGGTGATGTGCTGTGGTGTTGTGTTGATGTGCTGTGTTGTGGTGATGTGCTGTGGTGTTATGGTGATGCGCTAATGGCGTTGTGGTGATGTACAGTGCTGTTATGGTAATGTGTTGTGGTATTGTGGGATGTGCTGTAGTGTTGTGGTGATGTGTTATGGTGTTATGGTGATGCGTTGTGGTGATGTGCTGTGGTAATATGGTGATGTGGAGAGGTGCTATGGTGGTGTGCTCTGGTTTTATGATGTGTTGTGGTGTTATGGTGATGTGCAGTGGTGTTATGGTGATGTGCTGTGTTGTGGTGATGTGCAATGGTGCTATCGTGATGTGCTGCGGTGTTATGGTGATGTGCTGTGGTGTTATGCTGATGTACTGTGGTGTTTTGGTGATGTGCTGTGGTGTTATGATGTGCTGTGGTGTTATGGTGATGTGCTGTGGTGTTATGGTGATGTGCTGTGGTGTTATGGTTATGTGGTGGTGTTATGGTGATATGCTGTGATGTTATGATTCACTATTGTGTTATGGTGATGTGCTGTGGTGTTATGGTGATGTGCTGTGGTGTTATGGTGGTGTGCTGTGGTGTTATGGTGATGTGCTGTGGTGTTATGGTGATGTGCTATTGTGTTACGGTGATGTGCTGTGGTGTTTATGATGTGCTGTAGTGTTATGGTGATGTGCTGTGGTGTTAATGTGATGTGCTGTGGTGTTATGATGTGCTGTGGTGTTATCGTGATGTACTGTGGCTTTATGGTGACGTGCTGTGGTGTTATGGTGATGTGCTTTGGTTTTATGGTGATGTGCTGCTATGGTGATGTGCAGTGGTGTTATGGTGATGCTCTGTGGTGTTATGGTGATGTGCTGTGGTGTTGCGGTGATGTGCAGTGGTGCTATCGTGATGTGCTGTGGTGTCATGGTGATGTGCTGTGGTGTTATGGTGATGTGCTGTGGTGTTATGGTGATGTGTTGTGGTGTTATGGTTATGTGCTGTGGTGTTATGATGTGCTGTGGTGTTATGGTGATGTGCTGCGGTGTTATGGTGATGTGCTATGGTGTTATGATATTCTGTGGCGCTGCTCTGGGGTGTTGAGTCAACGCTCCAGCTAGAGGCACATCTTACCCACTAACTAGAAATAAATGAGAATGGGGGAGGCCTCTGTGCAGCATTTGTCTGCACATGGTGTGGTTGTAGCACTTGTCTGCACATGGTGTGGCTGTAGCACTTGCCTGTACAAGGTGTGGTTGTAGCACATGTCAGTACGTGGTGTGGCTGTAGCACTTGTCTGTACATGGTGTGGTTATAGCACTTGTCTGTACATGGTGTGGCTGTAGCACTTGTCTGTACATGGCATGGCTGTAGCACTTGTCTGCACATGGTGTGGCTGTAGCACTTGTCTACACATGGTGTGGTTATAGCACTTGTCTGTACATGGTGTGATTGTAGCACTTTTTTGTACATGGTGTGGCTGTAGCACTTGTCTGTACATGATGTGGCTGTAGCACTTGTCTGTACATGGTGTGGCTGTAGCGCTTTTCTGTACATGGTGTGACTGTAGCGCTTTTCTGTACATGGTGTGGCTGTAGCACTTGTCTGTACATGGTGTGGTTGTGATGAGTTAGTCACCTCTAACCAGTGAGTATATCACTTCAAAACAGAGATGTCTGACACCACAGCATCTCTGCAGGCTTGCCACAGAGACTGTTTCCTGCAACTTATTTGCTAACCTCTGGCCCCCAACTCACTGGTATGTGCTACTTTCCAGTGGTAGACCCCCGCCCACCAGTGACGTGTCTCCAACTACTGCACCTCGCTTGACTCCAGTATATGAGAGACCATCTTCATGCCCAGGCTAAGGCGTTCAATACAGGATTCCAAGCATTAGGACTGATTACCTCACCTTCCACTCTCTACACACATCATCTCAGTATGGAACTGATGATAAAGCCACTGGTGGGCGAGACATCTCCGAATAAGGACAACCAGATGTCGCACGTGTCCACTGCCTCATTCTGTCACTATTGTGTCATTATTGTAGTCATTCAGGTGATTGTGGCACTACTGAACATAGTTGTATCCCAGGAAGAAAAAAAATCGTGTACAAGTCAAAAATATATATACACTGTGGTTTATCCTTAAGTAGTGAAATATAAATGAAAAAAATTCTCATTGTCTTCCATTTCTCCCCAGCGCAGACAGTGTCTGCCACTTCCCCATACAATACACCGCCACTTCCTGCAGTTCATACACTGCCAAGGTCCAGACAGTATTACCACGTTATTAGAACGCAGATCAGGATTCATATGAGCTCCAGAAAAGTATGGCCGCCTTAGATCAGACGTCGAGATGCGAGCGTAGGAAATGCAGTGAATGTAGGTGCGGGCGTGGGCGCAGGCGTGGGCGTGGGAGGTCAGGTGCGGGCATCGTCAAGGCTGGCAAATTTGTATCTACAAGGCCAGCGAGCATCAATGTCGTGAATGGGTATAATTTCTTCAGATGGTTTCTCCCCAGCCAGTTCCTCGCGCACCTGACGACACCAAGATGATTATTATTATTATTATTATTATTATTATTATTATTATTATTATTATTATTATTATTATTATTATTATTATCAACGCTGTTGTTTATATTAATGTTGTTACTACTATTACTGCTATTATTATCATTATTATAATTGTTGCTGTAATTATTATTATTATTATTATTATTATTATTATTATTATTATTATTAATGTTATTATTATTATTGTTACACTCGAAACCAAGCAGCTCCATTCTTCAAGACAAGTTACGGAATTAAATTCTTGTTGAGTTAAAATTCAACCAAATCAACACTGAAGAAACTGTTCCCTGTAACGTGAACACGCGTGCAAAGGGCCATTTTGCAGAGACCGTTTGGGTCTTCCCTCTGCCTGGGTAATATGATATCCCCCCCGTCCCCCCAGTAGTGAATCAGTGGGAAAAAATGGCACACTATATAGGGGTAATAACTATTTTTTTTCACTGTTGGCTTCCCCTCGGTACTATTACAATAGATATCCCTTCCATTTTTTCCAGAAAATTGACAGTCGGCAAACAGCAGTTCAACTGTCGACTGTCCAACAGCATTGACATTCAGCCGACAGCCTCATCGTGTAACAGCCAACTAAAGGCCCTGCAACAGACAGCACCAACAGCACCTGTTCGACCCTCCTGAAGACCCGCAGCAGGTTGAGTCCAGCCAATTTCTTCAGATCTTGTAGGGACCAGGTCGGGTCCTTCAGCAGCTCAGCGAAAAGTTCAGGATACCTCGACACGTCCTCCAGTCCTTCAGGCGTCCTGAAGGAGTGAGATTAATAGTTAATGTGTCTCACAGTGTGTCTTATCCTCAAGAAGTGTGATGAGTGGTTAACGTGTTTCTCAGTCCTGAAGGGGTGAGACAAGTAGTTTATACGTCTCTCAAATGAAAAATAAAAATAGAATGTTGTCCCACACTCTCCCATAAGGTCTTGTTAGGGAGTAAACATTATTACACAAGTGTCTGGCGACCATCTTCCACAGCGTTCATATTACCCAGCGTTCATCCCCCCGAGCGTTCACCTATACAACGTTCATTTTGTCGCATTGTTTACCAGCCAGGAGACACATCAACACTATACATAGGTGAGCGCAGTCTTCTGCAGTCTACTGACTTAGCCGCACACACGTAAGTTAGTAGACTGCAGAAAACTGGAAACACTGGCGTCTCTTCCTGTTCTACTGCATGTGGGTTATTCGTATATGTTACACATGCGTTCAGTGGGATAAACCTTGGTAATAGATACTGACAAATTGGTTTAGAAAGACACGTAAGCAAACACTTGGATATATTTATTAGGCAACGTTTTGTCGCTGGAACGTTGACCACTTCAGACATACGGAGGTTAAAAAGACAGTATATATAGGCATTCTTTAGGTCACCATGTGAATATTAAACTGGTATAAAATACTGACAGGTTGGTAAGACACATGTGCAACATAATCTTCACATCTCTACTGCTTCTACCAACTTTTCTGTACTACTACTAGTAATATATTTATTTCTACAAGTACATGTACATAGGCCTAGATGACATTAATGACATACTACTATATAGAAAGCCGGTTGTTGTGCAGAGCATTTCGGACAAATTAGGTCAGTTTTTGATAAATTAGACACATGTGCAACTCTTGGGTATCTTTATTGAGGAAACGTTTCGCCACACAGTGCCTTGTGTGGCGAAACGTTTCCTCAATAAAGATACCCAAGAGTTGCACATGTGTCTAATTTATCATGTCGGTTCTCTGAACCATTCATCTACAGGTCAGTTTTTGTCCCAGGATGCGACCCACACCAGTCCACTAACACCCAGGTGCCCATTTTATACTGATGGGTGAACATGGACAGCAGGTGTCATGTGGAAACATGTCCTGATGTTTTCCAGCTGTAACTGGGATTCGAACTCCGGACCTCAGTTTGTGAGCTGAGTGCGCTAGCGATCTAACTACGGGACTGAAGAAGCCTACTGTGTAGGCGAAACGTTTCGGAGTTGGTGCTCTCAACACCAACCCCAAGGCTGAGGGACTGATTACCTCATCTTTTGTATATAGTTCCACTGTCTTCTAATTATGTCCTAGAATCTGTATTGATAAAGCCACTGGATGGCGAAACGTCTACAATAAAGATATCCACATATTGCACATGTGTCTTAACTTTTATAAAGATACCTAACTGTTGCACATGTGTCTTACTTACCAGGTCACCATGTGTCACACACCAGTCTGCGCCTATATATACTGACTCATTCCCACCCACGTATTTGCCCATCAAACCCAGACCTTTGCATTTAAAAGAACCTGAGACCGGAAGATTTCTGGGTCAGAAATTGACGTAAAGAACACGAATTCATGGATCTATCCAGCTCGTCTAACACCAACACTCAACCCACTCACATTTTTGTGTTAAAGAACTTGAAAGTAAAACACCTGTGAATAGTAATCAGATGTTCAAAAGGTGCTATTAATTTTGGGGGAATATTACAGAGCACTGGCTTGTGTGGGCGAAACGTAGTCAATAAAAGGCCACATTATATTTCATTTGTGTTTATTTTTTCAAACACTGAGTGGAGACCAGCAAGGCAGAGATTACCCAGGTGAAACACCGAACCAGCTGCCACAGTGGGTAATCACACCAATTAACTCCTGAGTCCACGCCATCTGCACCTGATGGTCGCGAAATACCTATCCGCGGATCATGTGCGATTCGAATCCATCCCGAGAATGGTTGGTTTATTGAGTTTAAAGCCTGCCGGCTACGAGAGGGTCATTAAAGCTGCGTGAAACCTGTTCACCACCAGTCAAGAATACTTATATACTGTATATATAATCCTACCTATCGCAGAATATGATTTAAATCTATTCTCACCTATAAATGGCTACAGGAATCGAGTTACAGCTCCTGGGCCCTGCTATTCAATGGTACTCTGCTATTTGTGGTTGCGGGGGTCAAATCACGGGTCCTTGGCCCTATTACTTACTTATTGATGCCGTCGAAGCCAGCGCCGATACCCACGTGGTCGACACCTGCCATGGTACGCACCTGGTTGATGTGACCTGGGGGACGAGGAATTGTTACTTACTACCAGGTGGGAATGATCACTGCTCTCATTGGTACCTTTATTCATGACGTCATAGGTAAGTAAAGCTGCTGACTGGCCACTTTAGCAATGACGTCAGAGGTAAACAATAGATTCTTAGCTCTATAATAGACAAGTAAATATAGAAGAATAGCGAATACGAAAAGGTAAAGTCTGCTAAATGTGATACAAAATACAGCAAACAGAGTATACGTACCTACAACGTCCTGTATGGTGGCTGTCTCACTGCAACTGATGAAGTCTGTGTAGAAGCTCACCATTACTAATCCTCCATTGAGAGCCTGAAACCACAGCAACACCAGGTCAAGATTGCTTACCCTTTATCCTACGTCAACTACAGTGACCTCCCCCCCCTAGGACAGTTGTAGTGACCCAACGGCAACTTGATTGACCTCTGTTCATCTGAAGCGACTTTATATCATTTGGCCAGATATGTCAATTTCAGAGACAGAGAGAGACCTACCAGGGAACTGAGAATGTCGTCTGGTAGGTTCCTGTCTATGTGACAGAGGGCGCGAGTGGCAGAGTGTGAGAAAATGACAGGGGCGCGAGAGGTGGACAGTACGTCTCTCGCTGTCTTGCTCGAGGCGTGAGACAGGTCCACAAGCATCCCCACTCTGTTCATCTCCCAGATCATCTCCTGCAGGAGTATGAGAGTGGTAAGGCAGCATCCCACTCACTTTATCTCCTGTAAGTGTGAGTAATGAAACAACATCCCCACCCTCTTCATCTCCCAGATTAGTGACTAAAAATCTTGAATGCTTCAAATAACATTATGCAGCATAAGTAATTGCGTGATGCTTCAATAACGCCTTTTGTGGACAAAACGTTTTGTCCACAAAAAAAGTGTTGCACACTTTTATTCACCTGAAACATTAAAATATCCACACTAAATATTTCATTATATCATTTTTAATACTTCCAATTTGAATTAATTGTTTTGACTCATAGTGTGAGTGACAAGTGAATAATAATAAATATAATAAACACAGTTATAAACAAACATTTATTTACAGAATTTACATGACATGCATAATCATACATAAAAAAATAACACAGTAATGCCAAATATCAGAGGTGGTGGTCAACAGGTCATCAAGAGTGGGGTGTCGAAATTGCTTGACGTAAACAGGAGTCATCATGGCGGCCAGAACGACTCCTGGTAGTTGACTCGGGGAGACGGGGAAAACTGTTACTGATACGTTATCATCCACGTGAGTTTATTCCATTGACATTCTTGTTCATGACGAAGAATCTTAATTGTTTAAGGTCACCTGACTTAACCCCGTGCCTGAGGGCCAGCCGAACCTGGGTGCTGGCTGTCTTCTCGTCAATGTTGTAGGTGTTGACAATGTACTTCAGGATGGCCTGAAGGGATGATCCTCGTTTGCCTTTCAGCTTATCGATAGCGGCAACAATCATTGTAGAGTAGTCCGGGTGTGTGGGAACTTTCCTTGTGTCTGCAAGTTCCTCAACGAACTCCTTGGAGATAGTCTCGGAGATATTGGAGGTCTTCTTGGAGATTTTGCATGTCTTCTTGGAGGTCTTGCAGGTCTTCTTTGATGTCTTACATGTCTTCTTGGAGGTCTTGCATATCTTTTTGGAGATCTTGCATGTCTTTCTGGAGGTCTTCTCGGAGACCTGGCATTCCTTTTTGGAGATCTTGGAAATCTTCGCTTCAGCTGAACTCTTGTTAATCTTGAACGACCCCGTGGCACCAACACCTTTCATCTGGCGTAAGGCGCCGGAAGCAACACCTCGTCTCAAGGCAACCTTCACGTGGGTGGAGGCAAGTTTTTCACTAATATCATACTCGGCGACGATATACTTCAAAATAGCCTGACGAGATGACCCCCGACGCTCTTTGAGGTCTTTGTTGGCGGCAGCAACATCGACGAGTACTGGGAGGGGAAGGGGGTTATTCATCCCTTGCCCGGGAAGTTTTTTTGGGGGATAACGACACCCAACCACGGGGACAGTAAATATTTGGGGGTAAGAATCCCCTTCGTCCGCCTCTTAGAGAGTAATACAGTTACAGAACGACGTAACGTGTTATCAGCTGCCCGTGTACCTGCCTGACTGAGTGAGGAAACGTTGGAAATAGCCGTTATAAGGGTCGAAAGTCAGTGAGGTAAGAGTTGCAATGAAGGCGCTCAGGGGACGTTACCCTAAAACTAAGAATGGAGGAACACTAAAAAAGGGCCTACTGGCCCATAAAAAAGGCAGGCCCTTAAAAAAATCATCGTAATAAATTTGGTAAATTCCATCCCCTTAAAAAGTTTTGAGGGAGACCACCTAAAAAAACTTTAAGGGTGATGGACTGATTACATCGTCTTAAAGTATTTCTGCTTCTATAATTTTTCTGTACTCGACTGAAGAAGCCCCTTGTAGGCGAAACGTTTCAAAATTAAAAAATACCTAACTGTTGCATTGTGTCTTACCTAACAACCTCGAAGCTAAAAACTAGGAAAGATTGGTTTGGAAATAGGGGAGTTGAGAGTGGAACAGTCTACCTAGTTGGTTTTTTGAGGGTAGGATTTGGGTAGTTTCAAAATTTTGGTTTGGTAAGTACAGAGTGGGGGGGTTGGATTTGGTGGGACTTGCACATCGGAGCTTGTTTTCTTGGGTGGCATTGAAAATTTGGGTTTGGTCAAATGTTTGTTAGTGGGATGAATTTTAAAGGACCTGCCTATTTTGGGCAAAAGGCCAGCTGCGTTTCCTCCTTTCTTATGTTCTTATAGGTAATATGGTTTTCTAAAAGAGTTGTAATGGTGGACATCTTCCCCTGGGGGGATAGAGGGTGGACCTTGGGGGCTTTAAAAGGGCGGGGGCAAATTATGGTGGGGGTGGCTGGGTTTGATTGGTGTCAAGGGGGACGGGAGTTATTTCTTGGTAGTTTAGGTAGATTCGTTTTGTAAGGACCTGCCCCGTTGGGCCAGTAGGGCCCTTTTGCTTTTTCCTACATTCTTATGTTCTTATGTTTTGTATAAAATACGCAAAGGAAATTAAAAAATTGCAGTTTAAATGTGATCCCCTTTTTTGACTACGTTTCGCCCACACTGGGCTTTTTCAAGTCCAAACGAACTACCCGGGGTGAACAAAAACGAAAAAAATTAAGGGGAAGTCCCAAATGGGATGACGGGGAAGACGGGACGACAAGAAAGTGCTGGAGGGATTTTTTCTTAAGAAAAAGAACATGAACGAGGAACACGCAGAAGGCCTCTGGCCCAGGGGGGAGGTCCAAGTCCCCTCCCGGCTTAAGCCAATGCCCCCCAAACCCTATCGGTAGGCACTTTGACTTAAAAGGAGGAACAGGGAAACCGACCTGTTAGCAAACTATCAGGTTTAACTCACACCCACCCACTCCACCTGTATTTATCCAACCTTTTTTTAAAGCTCCAACTTTTGGGCCCTCTATAACTGTATCGGGGGTTTGTTCCCCCCATCCACAACTCTATTTCCAAACCGTACTTTCCCATATCCTTCTGAATTGGAATAGAGCCAGGGGGTTAAATAAAACATAGAAAATAAGAAAGGAGGAAAAAACTGCAGCAGGCCTGCTGGCCCATATAGGCAGGTCCTTTACAAATTTATCCCCCCTAACAAACATTTGGATGAATTGAAAAAGGGCCGCCTGTTGGGCCCGCGGCCTGCTGCAGTTTTTCCTCCTTTCTTATGTTTTTTGTTAAGCCCTGGCTCTATTCCCCACGCTAAAACACTCCTCTCCAGCACTATTCTTGTCTGTCCCCTTTCCCCCCATCCCCTTTGGGATCTTACCTTACCTTTGTTCTTGTTGTTCACCCCGGGGAGTTTTGTTTTGGATTAAAAAGCCCACTGTGTGGGCGAAACGTAGTCAATAAAGGATCACATTATACTGCATATGTGTTTATATTTCCATTGTGTCGGTATTTTATACCATTTATTTCCATCTACTTCACCTAGTTTATAGCAGCGAAGGCGATCGTGGGACAGATATTGAGAAGAGAAATTCAGGCTCTTCTGTTAGGACTGCAGGGGTGAGCGAGGAGGAACATAAGAACATAAGAATGTAGGAACACTGCAGAAGGCCTACTGGCCCATACGAGGCAGGTCCTTATCAAAACGACATCTACCTAAAGCTACTCAAGAAATAACTCCCGTACCCCTTGACACCAATCAAACCCAGCCCCTCCCACTCATATATTTGTCCAGTCTCTTCTTAAAGCTACCCAAGGTCCTAACCTCTATCACCCCACTGGGAAGACTGTTCCACGCATCTACAACTCTGTTAGAAAACCAGTACTTACCTATGTCCTTTCTAAATCTAAATTTATCCAACAGTGGTGACGTGTACTTAGCTCAGTGGTGACGTGTACTTAGCTCAGTGGTGACGTGTACTTAGCTTGAGTGGTGACGTGTACTTAGCTCAGTGGTGACGTGTACTTAGCTCTGTGAAGACCTGTTTGTGTGCTCTCTGTGAATCTGAACCAGGATGCCCTCTCTTGAGCAGCTTTACCAGCAGCTGAGAGAAGAACTCAGAGTTGCTAAACTGGAGATACGGCGATTAACGGAGGAGAACAAGAGGATTCGTAGTAATCCACCTGTTGTGAGTCCCCAGGTTAAGAGGGGAGCTTGGTCAGTGGCCGGGCAACATGGAACCAAGCTGAAGATTAAGAAAACGGTTGGAGAGGCAGAAACAACGAGAAACCAGAAGACTGCCGTGGAAACTTCAACTCATTCTCGGTGCTACCTGACAAAAGCTCCTGGAGAGCGAAACGTTGCCACAATAAATGTCACATTAGTTGCACTTGTGTCCTTTTACTTTACATATTGTCGGTAATTCTACCAACTTTATTACACTCAGAATCTGCAGCAACGAGTTCCTTGAGGAAGAATGCACTATAATTGAACAAATATTTTCTAAACTCCACTATCCTCGTCACTTCATCAGAGACTGTAAAGTAAAAGGACACAAGTGCAACTAATGTGACATTTGTTAGGTAAGACACATATGCAACATTTAGGTATCTTTATTATGAAACGTTTCGCCTACACAGTAGGCTTCTTCAGTCAAGTACAGAAAAGTTGATAGAAGCAGAAGATACTTGAAGACGATGTAATCAGTCCATCACCCTTAAAGTTTTGAGGTGGTCAGTCCCTCAGTCTGGAGAAGAGCATTGTTCCAAAGTATGAAACAATATGGAGAAGAAAGGGGACAGGATGGAGTTTTTTTTTTTTTTATAGCGCCAAGAGGTGAGACGTAGGCCACTAGGAGAGGTAGTACTCAGATGTTGACAGGTCAGGTCCCTCTCAAATCCAGCCCCTCTCACTAGTGGAAGTTTTCGAAGTTGATTGCAGGTCTGTACCAAGATAACCCTTGTGTTGCGTGTCTGACAGATTAAAACATTAAAATGGTTTTAAAAATACCGACAGGTTGTTAGGAAAGGGAACATATGCAACATTTAGGTATCTTATTATGAAACGTTTCGCCTACACAGTAGGCTTCTTCAGTCAAGTACAGAAAAGTTGATAGAAGCAGAAGATACTTGAAGACGATGTAATCAGTCCATCACCCTTAAAGTTTTGAGGTGGTCAGTCCCTCAGTCTGGAGAAGAGCATTGTTCCAAAGTATAAAAACAATATGGAGAAAGAAGTGACAGG